AAAAAGGAAATTGAGTGCTTTGCATGACTTCTTCAACTGATTCAAATCTGGGCAAACAGCTGTATCATACCATATTCAGCATGAAGGAACACAGAAGGACCAAAGTAAACATTTTTTTTGGAAAAAAATACCTGCTTGCTTTTGCGCGTTCATTATTTCCAAAGAGTCATCGTCACGTGACAAAAAAATCAATTCTATTCACAAAGATAGAAGATACTAGGAACAAAAAGAAGTTTCAATAATAACCTAAGATATAACGAGAAAATAAAAGTAACGGTCTAATTTCTTTCACACATTCGCCTTCTTAACCTTTATGGTCAAAGTAGCCTCTTAAACAGATTATCGTAACATAAAAAAAGGGGATGGGAAAGCTGTTTTTTTACCATACGACCAAGAATGAATGTACTAAAGAATTTTGAATTATGGAGAAGGCTTATGTGGAACCTACCCCAGTAAAGCTTATATTAAAATTTTGTACATGAAAACGGTAAAATTGAAAACGCTTCTATGAACATGATACGATCATTTTAATGTTCAAAAATCCTCGTCGTCAACTTTAACAGAGAATTTCCTAACTTAATGATTAGAAGCATTTCTACAGCGAAAGTGATTTTTCGTAATTGCGATAAAGGCATAACAGTACTTCCTCAAAGGCTTGTACTAAAAGTGAAAATAGTACCAAAATTTCTGACAGGAGCTCATGTGACTCGGACTTTGCTACGGAAAACATTCGCAGCAAGAACTGGTTATATTAGGCTGAGTAAAACACACAGAAGCATTAAATGCACTCTTCTCTTTTTTAGTTCAAAAAAAAAAACAGCAGAGCGCGTGTCCTACAAATGATTCGTTTACTCAAAGTCAAACTTTTAGGACAATTCAAGTTTTATTGTTCAGCAATCCCCTTCTATAGCCAGAACTAGGCGGGTAAGAACTAGATTAGGCAGGATTGAGGATTTTTTCAATGTCGCAGAAGAGTGGAGATGACTTAAAATAGACGTCGTTGAAAATTGAAGAATCAGCTGATACCACTCACAGTCTTACTTGAACACAAATAGTGAATTTGTTTTAAGTGAAGCAAAACTAAGAACAAGAAGTCATTACTTTTTTAAAATAAGTGACAAAAAGCACTATCAATTGCTTCGACAATAAAGAGGCATAATAAATCATTAGACTGGAATGATAAGCATAAAAAACGGAGAAATGGAGCCTTGTATACGACCTCACTAACCTGTCCACCTACCGGGAATGGTTTCACTACGATAAAATTCATTATTCATTATTCATTATTCACAACGAAATAGTACAATCAGTCAAAACAGAGGTGTATTCG